TACATTCCTGAGGAGGGCCTCTAAAAGACGGCCAAAAACCTTCGCGCATTAAAATTTTTTGTTCATTTGGTGCTGGAATTAGCATTTAGGTGTTAATTGTTGTGTTTATATTAATCTATTTTCTCAAGAATGTGCATGTAGATGTTTTACAGATGGAAAGGTATTGCTGATATGTTATACTGTTAGACTTAAAAAACCAAAGTGACATCATTACACTTTGATGATTAATAACTCATTAGAGAGGTTGCGGCTGAAGTTTTTATTGCAAAAATGTGAACGTCAGATGTTCAGCACTACCATCCTATAAGCCTAGAGTTTGACAATGACATTTGGAATGTCATTGGAATCATGCTCAATGTGCCAAACACCATTGTCAAACTCTAGGCTTATAGGATGGCCGCGCTAAACATTGGACGTTCACATTTTTGCGATTGAAACTTTGGCCGCAACCTCTCTATTATAATTAGTGAGTTATTAAGATTAAAACATAGTTATCAACTTTTTTAAATTTGGACTTTCATCTATAAGCCTGTGAAATGTATCCAAACACTTTTGAAACACCATATATATTACTTGAATCTAATACAGTCTTTTTGGCTGAGTTCTATCTCCAAAGTTACAGTGTGATTTGCAACCAAAGCTCATTAGATTCAAGTATAAACTTGAAAACTTCACATGTAGCTTTTCCATGCACTATCATTGCTAGAACCTTTCCAATTCCCTTTTTTTTCTCCATGCTTTGTGTCCATTTTTGCTTGTTTTCACATCCTCTGTATGGTTTTTTTTTATTTCCTACTTTCACTAAATTTCTTGGTATTATTTTCTTAGGATTACTTTTGCAACATCAGTATTTAGTGCAAGTGTGCATTACAATTGCCAGCAAACAGATTTTTGTCACCATGTTTTGAAAATTGGAGTGTGCACTAGATTACAGTAAACATGATATTAATGTTTGCAAAGTCAGCATGATTTATTTCTCTTTGAATTCTCACTGTCTATAAATTTAAACAGGAAAGCTTTCTGAATTTAAGGTTTGAGAACTTTTAAAGCTTAAGTTTTTTGACTTCAAAAACATTAATATGAAATAAACAAGTTGTTTTAACAAACGAAATGATTGCAGTTTGTTGTTTGTTATCAGAGAGTTGCAGTACGTCACAACTTAATTGAATTAAGAAACACTTTTTTGGGGGCATTTTAGTATCTTTAAAAGTAGGATACTTCTGATGTAATATGTCATAATTAGTGCTATGCATCTTATTTCTTTATCACTAATTCTATTGCATCATTTAAATGATTTCATTATACAGTACCAATATTTGTAGTAGTAAATATTTTTAGAAGTCAACTTAGCTCAGTCTCATTAGTCTATTTCAGTAATGATGTAATTACTTGGATGAAAATTTCTGGAAAAGGTGTGCATAACTCTTCTCTGATATGTTCCCTTTCTGATACTTCAAACATCATGAATGATTGTGTGTGAGAGGATAAGAGCCTAGAATTCCTTATTTCTATACCGTGGAAGACTGATATATAATTTTCTTTACTGTATAATAAATTTGTCTTGAGTTATCTGTTTTTTGACACTGGCATGCACACAGAACACCTTTCTTACTCCATGTTGTTTATTATAAATTACAAACATTTTTGAGTGTAAACAGTTCCATTATATTTATTTTAAGTTTTTATATATGATCTCTTTCATTCTGAAAAAATTTAGAAATGAATTTCATAACTTTCTCAGTTGTTATGAGATTTAATTTTAAAAAATAACATTTATATTATTAATTATAATAATTAAAATTGTGTATGGCACCTTCTGTTACAAGATTTTGTTATAAAAATTTTTTATATTATTAAATGCTACTGAGATTAAAGCCAAACTGAATCAAGTTTTAAAGGAGTCTGTTCCGTCAAATTCAATGATAAGTGAGTAGGTGACACTTTTCAAACTTGGCTGAGAAAGTGTGGAAGACAACAGTCACAGCAGACAATCTGAAATCACTGTTATCCCAGAAAATGTTGTCAAAATCCACAATATGGTGCTGGCTAACCACCACTTGAAACTGCAGGAAATTGCTGAGGTCACTGCTGAACAAAAATATATGTGAACAACAACTGCCAAGAAATGTTTTGATATCTACCAGAGGAATCCATAAGAATTTTTGCATTGGTTGATGACCACAGATAAGATGTGGATCCAATACTATACCTCTGAGTCTAAAGAACAGTATAAACAGCTGAAACATTCATCATCACCAACTCCAAAAGAAAGAGAAAGTGGTCCCTACAGCAGGGAAGTCTTGGCATCCATCTTTTGGGATGCCAATGGATTTTTATTGACTAGTTGAATAAGACCATCATTAACACTTATTGGTGTGATCTGTTAGAGAAATTGAAGACTGATATTGCAGAGAAACAGTCCCATATGAAGAAGAAGAAAAATCATTTTTTATCAAGATAATGCAACAGCATTCTGCCTGCCTCATCTAGGAAAATCTCGCCAACCTTCCAAACCTTTTCCCATCTTCCATATCCTCCTGTGACTTGGCTTCTAGTGATATTCACCTTTTTCCAAACCTGAAGAAAACTCTGGCAGGCAAGAAATTTTGCACAAATGAAGAGATCATTGCTGAGGTTATCAGCTATTTTGCATAACCAGACAAATCAGCTTTTTCTTCTGGGATGAAGATATTAGAACACCACTGGAATAAGTATGTTATTTTCAGAGAAAATTTTAACAAAAAATAAAAATATAATTCAACCAGATTATCTATTTTATTATATTCGATTTTGAGAACTTTCCAAATCACACACACATTAAATATTAATAGTTAAATAACACACTTACTCTAACTAAAAAAACTGCAACAGTAGATAGACAGTAAAACACCTTAAAAAGCACTGATGTTTAAGGTGTTTTAATATCTGGACATATACTCTAACAATATGGAAGGAAAAAGGAACATTGCATCATCAAGAGGCAACTAATAACTTTGGGCACATTTTTTTGAAAAATTTAAACATTTTATCTAAACTGTAGAAATTTTTATTGAAGAAGTGTCTTGGAAAATTAATCAGATTTAACCTTATTTCTATAAATGACACACAAACATGTAGAGCACTTTCTCAAATTTTTGGACATGTTAATGTGGCGTCATGCCTGTCTTGCATGTTAACTTGCAAGGGAGGCCTGACTTTGATTTGTTCTTGACCACTTATTTTATTTGCATTTATTTTGTGGATTTTGTTTAAAGTGACTGGTTGTTTTCTTCCTCAACTTTTTATAATGTAGAATATTTATTTATTAACTACTTAATATTATAGCTGTTGTTGTTAATGTTGTAAATCTGATTGTGAGAAAGATCTGTTTACTATACGAATCTCCAAAAGTTGAAACATACACAAAGTAAAACTAAACATCATTTGACTTTTTTTAGCCTGTAATATGCATTGGAATCAAGTGAACGCCTAACAAGAGTTACATTTTACATATATCATACAGTTATTATACAATAAAAAATTAAACTTTAAAATTATTTTTTGGCAAGAAGCTAAATGTACTGCTTAATCTATGTATACTATAATAACTTATGTACAGTACATACAGTACCATCCTGCTTTAAAATTGTTTATTTACTTTCCTTTAGGGGTTATTAACCAATGACTGCCATGCAATGGATATTTTCTCACAAATAGTGCAATTCCCATTGATTGCTGCATTGAAAACTTCCCAGACTTCCTAGATTCTTAGTTTCTGAACATCAGACTTTCCTTATCAGTTTTGCCTTATCCCAGATGATCGATACCTTGGGCAGGCTCGCTCATATATTGAGTCAGTAGTGTTACTTGTTTACTATTAGAGATGTCATATCTGCGCCCTTTAATTCTATGCATCTCTTAGTAGAGCCCAGTTATGCTCTATCACAATTGACACTTGAAAGAGGTTGAAAACATTTCCTTTTTAATTAATTTCAGTACATATTATTTTTTGGAAGACTGTGTGTACAGTGTTCAGTTTTGATCTTTTTAGTATTGTGCCATTAAATATTTATCATCATCATTCTTTCTTTTCCTTTTTTCAATTTCTAACTACAGCTTGACAAAATGTGCCCACTGTGGACACCAATATAAAGTTTAGTCAAGAGGTAAGAGATGAGGAGATGTGATGGTGGTCTTGCATGACAAACTAAACTTTATCTTTTCATTTATGTGAGGGAATAAGCAGTTACAAGGATGCTTGTTTTATGTTTGTCTTACTTTATGATCATATTTGGCCTTTACATCAGCCATTATCATACATTATTTTTTCGGTGGTTTGAATTTTTCACTTTGTATTATATTAATTTGTTATTTTCATAACAGTCTTATTATATAAATTATTTTAAATAAATATTAAAAAATAGTAACTACAAAATTTTGAAATTTAAAGCTGATCTGTTTAAGTTACAAAAACTTAGTGATTTTTTTTAAACTGACAATATTACTTTTTGTGTTAAAAAAGAAAAAAGCATTCTGCATTACTCTTGAGTCCTGTCAACAATAAAACATTCTGCTTTATTTTCTTCTAAAATAATTGTGACTCCAATGTGATAAACAGTATGCAATAAATTTTGGTATCTTATGTGGAATGGCATAGCTTTATTCTATAGTATGCTACTTCTAAACATATCAGTGTCATATTGTCTTCATCTAATGTATTTCATAAAAATTGCATTTGTTTATTCATTGACACTACAGGTAAGACAAACTATTATCTTAGCATTTCTTATGTTAAATTTACAAAGTAACTAGTAAATAGTTACTTTGTAATGACTTAAATATACAGTTCTTAAACAAAAGACAACTTATCTTTCATAATTTAATTTAAAAATTTCTTTTAGAAAATATTCCAAATTTATTTTAAAGCAGTGTATGTATTATTTCATTAATATGAAGTGATTATCATGACAGAGATGTTACATTTATGTAAAATTTATTTTTATAATGAAATTCTCTTTTAGATCCTTGCCGAACATCAGGATGCACCGATGTCGCAAATTTACGGTTCTGTCCACCTTTTACGATTGTTCGGTATAATCAAAAAATAATTATTTATGTTTTAAGTCTATTTAAAGTATTATAGCTTGAAATTTATATATATTCTTTCTATTTTCAGTGAAATTAGGAAGCATGTTAGCTTACACACCTCTGGATGAAAAAAGTGTACAGTTGTTGCTCACACATATCCATGATTTTCTGAGGTAACTCTTCTGTTAATATATAAAATAGCTTTTATGTCACGTGCTTGATACTTCGGTTTAAACAGGATATGACAGCTCCAAATAGCTTTTACGTTCACATAACTTTTTATTTATGTACACACCCGTACACAACCTCTGCATCACATACGTACAGCATAGGTATCAATTTACGACATTTTATAATTAGTACATTTGAATATAGTCAATACAAAATATATAATTAGATTAAATGCAAGTATTAAAATGAGAGATAAAAGTATAAAATGCATTCTAAAGTTAACAAATAGTGATTTCAAGTGGTTTACATGTGTGATACTGATATTTAATATTACTTTAGGTATTATGTAGCAGTAAATATTTATGTATATTCTTCATAATATTTATTATAAATTATTGCACTATCATTAGACTGAGTTTTCAATCCAAATATACTACATATTGCATCAAAGATAGGATGACTAAAAAGCACGTGTGTGGCAGTTTGTATGCTTTCTTGACAAAATTGATACACTGGATCATCATTGACATTAAATCTACGAAGATATTCTAAAAAGGCACCATGTCCCGAAAGAAACTGTGTGTTCACAAAATCTGTAGTAAATGTTGTTATATTCACATAATAGACTTTGCGTATCTTGAGATGCATTTTTTAATTGGTGAAATGCATATTTATTGTAATCTTATCAAAATTAAGTGATTATACTGTATATCGGTAAGGCTTAGCTTACTTTAGTTGAGTCCCTGCCTTATGGAAAAATCAAAATTTCTTTTATTTTGCATCTAGAGTTATCTTGCCTGTCCTGGAAAAGTCAGAACATTATTAATTTGCTCCCAAAATTCTCTACTAGTGAAGAAATTTCTGTATACAGGGTATAGTTCCTAACCTGAACCTGTTCATTTTTTCCACTAACTCTTCCTAAGAAAACAAAAAATAAATGGTAGATTAATTTTTAAAAACATATCAAATTTCTCTCCAGTTTCTTTGGGTTGTTTTTCTTTATATACATCCCTAGTAATCCAAATGACTTCTTACAATAATTAGTTCAGATTGATAAGAATGCAAGGTATATATTTAATTCATTTCCAATGCTCCGGCTTGATTCTAAACTATCAGATTTTGTTCGAAACAAGTATTTAGTGTTATAAATTGTTTAATTATTTAATCTGGCTTTATTGTTTGATAATTATCAGACCAGAACTTGGCTACTTGATTATGCAGATATTACACAGTCTGGACTAAAGGACTTAGGAATTCCAGAGATGATGGAAATTTATAAATTGAGTAAACGGAACTAGTGTACTTTATTAGTTTCCAAAGTGCAAGAAAATCATTGCACGGGGCGATTTAGTAAATCCAACGGGGACCGGGAAGGACCGTGCGGATGTATTCTGCTCGGCTTAAGTCTGCGTTAACTTTTGAAATCGAAATGCTCTGCGATAAGTCGTAGGTTCTGCCAATAAAACCGGACGGTACAACGTAGTCGAAACAACCACAAAACCTCACTTTGGTCCGGTGACAAAAATTTTTTTAAATGTTCGCAAACCTTTTTTCTTCCGGTTACAATAGGTCTAGTGAGGTTTTTGTGGTGTGTTTCTACTAAATACTTTGTGTATGGCTATTATTTAACTATTAACTAATTTACACTTACCATAACATGATAGATTTATAGTTGTAGAAGCTTGCAAGTTGTCGGCAAGTTGTTGTAGGCATTCTAAAACTTTTCAAAAGTTTCATTCACCCAATAACGATTGGAATAATTTTCGGGTATTCCAAAATCTATTTTTAAAAAATTTACACGGGTCTATTCTAAATCTGGATATTAAAATTATAACGAGTCCATGTAGATACTCAAAATTAATTCACACCTCCTGGTGCAAATTCGGCAGAACTTGCCGAACTCGAACTAGATTTAATCTATCCTGATTATTAATGCAGCCTCCAATACAGTCGCCATTACTAAATTTTCGTAGTTTCAGCTGTTTTAAGTTTTGTAACATTTTATACGGGAAAAACTTGGCCCTCTCTTAAGGGGAAAACTGGGGATTTTTTCATAAAACTTCTAATGAGGGAACTTCTTAACCCAGTTGTTAACCGGGAGATTCCGAATCTACAAACGTTAATATTAAGATTGGTAATACCGGTACCAAACGGAACGATCGGTTTCTTAAATGCATGCTTACCACAAATTAAATATGGAGAGTACAGAAGGCATTTTGTATTGCGCGCCGGGTATTTTGGTACATTTTGCTTTTAAAAATGTGGCGGAAATGTAATTTGTTTCTACAGAAGTTAATTTTTGTTCAGGCTTCGTTCTTAATCTTTAAACCACGGAAACCAACAGCCACAAACCGTCTTATCCGTACTTTTCTTTTTCTAAACCAGATAAACCACCGGTTCGTAACCTAATAAAATTACTGTTTAATTTTATACGTAACTCGTAACAATTAATTTATAATCGTTTTTTCCAGGTATTTGGCTCGAAGTTCCACTTTCTTCAGTTTGAGCGACTACATCGTGGCTCCTCCGGAATACCAGCGAAAAGCCATATGATCATAATAGTTTGTTGACTGCCGCTCTTCCGTAGAATTTCCAATTGCTAAAATGGGTGCAAAACCGATTGTCCGCGGTGAACGTTAATGTACTCGAAGCTACGCCGTTTACTTTTAATTCGTACGCGCCCACTCATCCGTTACCACATTTCGCGGAGGATTTTCGTTGGCTTCTGTGCGCCGCACTCCAAGCAGGTTCGTTACGTTTCTTGGGGAGGCCGTGCCGAAAGGTTAAATAACTGAGATTAAAGCTCGTCCCACTTCGTTCATCTTCGCCTTCCCATCACCTTACTCGGTATAAAAGAATGGCGCTTCCGATAAATCTCGTGTCGTAACCGCGGTGAGAAAGGCGAGATTTCTCGCCCTCTCTCACCTTCGCGATAATTTTTTCTGTCAAAATTCCGGAATTGCCATCTTCTCGGTTTCACTTAATTTTATTCTTCTCCTTTCCAAATTAACCCGTGAATTAATTAATTTCCTTTAATTGTGTCCGGTTTATAGCAGCTAAAATAGGAAATGTATGGTAAATTTTCACTTCAAATCTGAATAATTGCGATTTTAATATTAAAAAATGGTACTTTGTGATTATTGAATATTTATTTTTATTATTTTTTATAAAATTTCTATAATTCGGCATTTAAATAAATTTTATAAACTGACAAATGTAGTCTTATTGATTATAAAGACTCGATTCTCAGAATTGGAAAATTGTGATGAAATATTCTAAATCACTAATATCTTCAAAATTTGTCTTGGTGGAGTTAATCGTCTAACGATGACTTCGAGTTGTGGGTGGACTCGTGTTTTAAATCAGATTTTGCGGGAATAGGTAAGTAGAAAATTCTTCCTTTCTTTGTATTCCGCTTTTACATCGTGTCGTCTAAACTTTAATATAAAAATAGCATCGTTCCACCCCTCGTATGACTCGAATTACACAATTCTACCGATTACTACGGCTGGTTTTACGTATCTGAGCGTCTCCCTTGCGAACTGTTTACGTAGAGAGCGAGAAGCCTTGAAAGGCAAACGGGAATTTTTCTTCACAGAAATAGACAATGGGTCGACGGTACGTCTTTTGTTAGACTATTATGGTTAAAAGTTAAGAATAACCCACTCTTCTGGGTTATCGTGGTAGAGAAAAATTCAAATTTCGCAAATTAGGAAGTAGTAAAATACCCTAAAAACGCATCGCGCGTACTTTCTAAAAGTAGAATTTTCGTTTTAACTGACACTGCAAGAAAAGTAAAGGAGGCATTCTGTATCCTGGCTGCTTAGTGTACAGTTGTCTGTACTATTTCCAGTACACTGTACGGGAGTGTCGCTTACCAGCTGTGGTCTAGATCTGCGCTTCTAGAAATAGAACCATCCCACTTACGTCACGCTGCTCCTCGTACCTTTTGCTAATCGATTTTGATGCGAAATTGCTTTCTGAAATATCAAAATCGTCAGTTTAACACCCTGTCTCCTGTTTTGTGACGTAAGAAAATCTCGCGCTCCCATTTTTTTCATACTTTTATGTTCATTCATGAGTTTGGTGTCTACTTAACGATGTCCTCTTTAGGGAAATGCTGGCTTCTAACCAAAACTTTGCAACCTGTAATTTTTATTCCGGTAGCCAAATTGGAAAGAAATTAACTTTCGGAGTGGTTTATTCGTTGTTACATTTCCGTCGATGCTTCTCGAGACGATAAATGAAGCCAAACTTACTAAAATCACAAAAATGCGGTGTTAAATGAATGATCTTTTGTTTTAGGATCTATGAATTAATCGCTGGTCCATACGGGACCTCGAGTTGATGTATCTACGGTAGCTAGGATGATGAGCATTCTTTTATCTCTAAGATGAAAGAATGTTCATAACTGACGACGATTGACTTCTAGAAAGTAGTAAAATGTAAAGAATAGAATGTACACTAACGTGCAGACTTTAGTATTTCGTTTGGCAAAACAACAATTTTCCTTTCCAAAACTCGGCTATGCTGACTAATTGTCATGTTCGTTCTAAAATATTTTCTTTCTGTCTGGCTTTAACGGGGCATTTACCTGTTTCTTATTTTACATTTTCCTCAAAATACTTCAGTTTATATCTATTTTTTACTCAAATTCTTATACCAGACATCAATGTCAGTGTAAGTTTATAGCAAAAATTTGTAAAGACCAATTTAGCTTTGATCAAAATTGTGGTTTGTCTGTGTATTTGCCTCGGCATTTAAACTTGTCAGTTTGAGGTCTACGTTCGAGCTGTTGAAAAATTCGTATTTGACAATATTAGGTGACCTCGCTGCCCTTTGCCGTGTCTTAAGGTGGGTCCCGTTCTCGATCCTATCTGTATCTATATCATTCTTTTCTATTTTCCGATGTTTTGTGTATTTTTAAGCGAAATACGTCAGAGCGTCATCTATAATATGTGGGAGGTTAATTGCAGATCACTTTAAACCCCTTAACGTCGTCAAATATGTCGATAAGGTGTCATTTTCTATTCTAGATCAGGCGACGGCCTTGTGCCCTACTCACTTTGATCTGTTTTCTTTTTTGAAACAAAGCCTTACATTCATTCCCCGTGGCAACTTTCCACTTGGGCATAAAATCTTACATTTTCATATCGGAACTTTTATAAATGGGGCATTTGGAACCTCGGAATTTGGACATTTGGCTCAGATTCCGACCTTGACGAAGGGGGAAGTAACGGAATGAAGGGCGATACAAAGTCTAGGTCTGAATTTCAAGCTTGGAATTAAGGTCTAGGCTCAAATTTTACATCCGGCATTTACGGAGTTGACCAAATTAGGCACTTTTGCTGATTATTTCGTCGAAACCCACAAATGTCCCGGTTAAAGTCACTCGGGTTAACTAAAGCAACGTCGTTCGGTAGGCGAGAAAAACGTTTGGATAAAATGTTTCCAGTTGTTGACCTTTATAACCCTAGAAAGGTCATCGTTAGACTGTACGTCAGGTAACATTTAAAGTGTTGGTAGACGTATCGCGAGCGCTCGCCATACTTGGAACCATCACAAATCTGCAACACAACGGGGTTATTTTTAGATGACTTGTACACATACACCGCGCATTGTGTCTTCTGTAGCATACGCTTCCTGCCTCCAACTCAACTCGAAATCTATCTTTGTTAAATTATCGTTCGAGTCCGTCCTTTCTTTCCCCTATTCACCACACCTTCACACACACTTCGTCGTCATCCTTCTTTCGTATGACCTCTTCTCATCCAACTTATTTTTCTTTTGGCTTTTAAAAACTGCATTTTATTTTTTAAGTTTTTAATTACATAAAGACTCGCCGTCTCTTTCAGATGTTTTCTTGCATAATTTACTATTAAATTTCTAAATTTTATGTATTTTTACTATCAAAAAATGCAAAAGTATATTTTTACAAATTAAAAACTTGTTGGTTTTGTAAAATTTTCAGATTACGTATTTTAGTGTAAAAAATATACATTTTAACAGTCATAAATGCACACTTTTGGATTGTAAAATTCAATTCTTACGATATTTCTAAAAGATTGAGAAAACCGAGCCGTGAGAACGATTTCTAGAGAATCGCTGCGAGGGCATTCTCTAGAAAGTAAGCTTTAATTCAATAAACGGGGATATTTTTCTCCATTTACTATTTTAAATTTAAAAAGAACCTTAAATTCTAGACGATAAATTTGAGAGGGAAAATAACGGAATGGCGTGTTCGACTCTCCCGCAATGCTCGTCAACCGTGCAACGAAGCAGTCATTCGGTAAGCTTAACAATTGGGAGCGGGGACGACGATGGACGAATTCCGCTTTTGGACTAGAGATATGCTTGGATTTAGAGGATTTGTCAATTGTTAGGATTCCCTAGTCTCGAAAATTGTCCTTCCCTCGCGATATACCGGAAATTCGACACTTAAAAAGTCGCTTTGGACCACAATGGTTCCGTACCCGTAGACCCGTGATTGGAGAAGATAGAATCTATGTACATACGCGCAGCTTCCAGAAACAGCAATCGGAAACGTTATCCTCAACTCATCGGTCCCACCCCTAAGAAGTCGTGTTCCGTGTGGGAAGTGCAGTGTGGGAAAATACTGACGTAGTCGCTCTCCCAACTACTTGGCAGCTCGGCGATTATCTTCGGTTCACTCGGCCTGTTGTAGTCGACGGAGCCTGCACGTTTCTGGTGTTAGTCCCTCTATCGTTTATTCGAATTTGTATATTATTTTGATTTTGTGTAAGTGCCGAAAGTTGGTCGAACGAATTAAAAATGGAAGCCATCAAGAAAAAGATGCAGGCTATGAAGTTGGAGAAGGACAACGCCGTTGATAGAGCCGAAACTGCCGAACAGCAGGCAAGAGATGCCGGTCTACGGGCCGAAAAAGTAAGTAGTATTTAGTTTTCTGTCTCTGTAAATCCGTGCGATCGTCCTTTAACCTGCCGGAATTTTCGGACCTTTTGCGCGCGCTTTTTGTTTTTAGTCACCCGAGCAATAGGAATTGACGACATTTTTTGTATTTGTTAGACCGAAGAAGAAGTGCGAGCTCTTCAGAAGAAAATTCAACAGATCGAAAATGAATTGGACCAAGTACAAGAACAACTGGCGCAGGCCAATAGCAAGTTGGAAGAGAAGGACAAGGCATTACAGAATGTATGTATTTTTGAGAATTGCCAATTCGTTTTCGTCTTAATTTTAAGTACAAAAAATGAAATGATGGCGGCCATCCATCTGTGTAAATTTTGTAGCTAAATTTAAAATTTCCGGAGTAATCTAGTCTAATATAAGGCAATGTGTCACGGGGAATTGCTAAATTTAGAAGACTCTTCTTTCGGAAACCTACTAGAGTGCACCGATTGAGGGGCGCCTCTAGCGGGAAAAGCGAACATTAAATTGATTACGACAGTCGGATATTTTAATTGTTAATTAATCTTATTTGTTGCTTAGAATAAGTCAAATGTGTCTTTCCCATCAAATTCGGAACGAAGGATTGGGATTTCTGTTTAATAATGATAAGCAAACCGCGTTTAATAGAAGCGCAAGATTGGGTTTTCGCATAAATCGGCATCAAACCACTTTCGAATTGTATATAAATAGTTTCGTCCAATTTTTTCATATTTTCCTCGTAATCGTAAGCAAATGTCAATAACATTAAGTGAGTAAACTGCAGAATTGCACGGCTCGAATTTCTTAAATTAGCGACGTTCAAGTTCTAACGTATTTATGGGAAAAGATTCCGATTTTTAATGTAATAGATTTCAACTGGCAAATCGGATTTTTACCGGAACATTTTCGTCTTTAGAACTTTTATAGCTTTAATTTTTAATTTTTTCAATAAAATATACGCAGTTAAAGCTTTTTTGAGAGCTTTAGGTCCCGAGGCAACACCTCGCGCCGAGCCTCTTCGTCCCTTACAAAAATAAAAGTTTTGGCCATCAACATCTCGTTATACTCGCGTATTTAGTCTCTTCGTAATAAGTTAGCTTTTGTTAACGGCTCCGAGTTAAATATTTATCAAAAATTTTCGTAAATCTGTTTTGGAATATTAAACTTATTTATTTACATTATTTAATTCATTTTTCGTAAACTTAAGTCGAACTTCGACCCGACATCTGTAGACGGTTTGCGGAATTAATCGCCGGGAGATATTTCAGACGATTTGAATTTAATTATTTGTTGCGTATTGTAACTTAAACGTGCGAAATGAAACGCATTTTGTTTTAAAATTATTTTTCGAATGAAAAACTCCGAGTATTTCGACTCCTTTTTTTTTCTTGTCTCTACTTATCGTCGACATTCCCTAGCCAAATATGGTGAGGTGTCGCTTTACGCGGCGCCATTGGTCGATCGTTTTGCGCAAGCGCTCTGACGACTTCGTCAGTCATTTGGCCATTAGCTTCCGGCGAGGTAGGATCTCTCGTCTGAACTTACGCCTTCGCCATGGCCAATTATTGCGTACTGTTCACTTAGTTTATAACAAAATAAACTACTAATAAACCCAATCGCCTCCAAAGCCTTATAACGAGCGCCTTACGATCGATATTGATGGATTTCTGTTAGAAAGTCCGTCACCTGCCAGATGAGGAATTCTCATACTTCCAGGGAAGCCGTCAGTCTCGAATTTCCCGATCGAACTGCCGACGGAGCCGAAGATGCTTTCGGACAGGAAAGCGACGAGAGCGAAGAGTGGTCCAGGCTCCGGTGTTCCAGCGTCCAGACCGAAGTCATAGCCGAAAGAAATCGGAGGAACAGGCAGCCCAGTTCGGGTTATCCCGGTCTGGCTTTCGGATCCTCCCTCTTCTCTGCCGGCACCATGATGAAGTTCAGCGTCATCTCCAACGAGTTGCACAACATCATGAACGTTCAGCTCAGAAGGGTACGGAACGTTGCTGCGGAAGATTGCGCTTTCTACGCTCTTTCGGTTTTCTATATTTCCGCGGTGGGAAACGGAGACGTCTCGTTACGATTCCGTACGCTCGAGTCCCTCCTCGACGGTAGATTGGTTTTTCTGCGCTTCCGATCGTGGAATGACTTTTTTGTCGATTCGAACGTCTACGGATGCCCGCGCTCGACGACCGGGTCGCCTTCGGCGTCGAAGAAATCTAATATTATCTTTAAAAAGAAAAATTTGTATTTTATCTTTTGAAATAAAGATCTAAACTTATCTGCCTTTGGCACGAACGGTTATTTATTTCCTCTTTGATCTTAATAAAAGTATAATTCTACCTTTTATGGCAGTATGGCAACTATTATTGATTCCTTATTATATTTCTACAGGCTGAGGGTGAAGTGGCTGCCCTCAACAGAAGGATCCAGCTGATCGAGGAAGATCTCGAACGTTCGGAGGAGAAGTTGAAAATCACCACCCAGAAATTGGAAGAGGTTTCCCAGGCTGCCGACGAGAGCGAACGGTTAGATTTCGTGCGCCGAAATTTATAATATGGAAAATAAGAATTTAATTTATTGATTTTTGCATTTTTTTGCAGTATGCGTAAGATGCTCGAGCACAGGAGCATCACCGACGAAGAACGTATGGACGGTTTGGAATGTCAGCTGAAAGAAGCCAGAGTGATGGCAGAAGATGCCGACAGAAAGTATGACGAGGTGATCGAATGTTCGGTGGCCAGTTTGTCTGAAATGGAGACTAGTTAATTGTTACTAAAAATTGGAATGAACAGAGTTGAATTATAATAATAATAATTGCACATTAATCAGTGTTAAGCATACACATATATGATTTATTTGTATATAAACCTATGTATAAACAAAAAATATATTATTTTTTCTTACACTTTATAAAATTTATAATAAATTATTACAATAATACAAGTTCTTGAACATTTTCGCTCAAAAAATCCAAAATCAAAGATTTTGGAGCTAACAAAAGTTAGATTGACACACTTGCAAATGTGATAAAATGCTAACATTTTTGCCTTTCTAAAAATCAAAAATTGGATTGTTAACCTTAAAAATTATATTGACGTGTTAAATAAATAACAATAAACAAACAAAATAAATCATTTACAATTATGTCGTTAAACTAATATCGTACTGCATGAAACTAACGTAACAAATCCCATCCGTCAGAATCTAACGTCAACGTCTCGTCCAGGTCGCCCGTAAGCTGGCCATGGTTGAAGCCGATTTGGAACGTGCGGAAGAACGTGCCGAGACCGGCGAATCGTAAGTTGACCAGTCGACCGCGACGTTTCCGACGACCGATTCTCCGTTTACGTTTAGTACTCATGCACGTTTATAATCATTTTTTACAGCAAAATTGTAGAACTTGAGGAAGAACTGAGAGTTGTTGGTAACAACTTGAAATCCCTGGAAGTTAGTGAAGAAAAGGTAAGGGGATTTCATAATATGCAAATCATGGAAGTTTTTGAAATATATATAGAATATGCAGGATTAAATTTTGCATTTTTACTTTTGTTTTCTTGAAAATCCAGTGTTTTCAGATAGCTCTTCATGTAACCAGTCTTTTTATTACTTTCTGTGCTTTTATATATACATTGTTCGTACACACCTGGAAAGTCAGGGATTTTCATTAGTGTTCAGAAAAAGTTGGGAATTTGCTTTATCAGATGCCTTGTTGATTTTTTGCCGACAATACGCTTGACCAAGTGTATCCATTTGCAGTCGGTAATACAACTTACGAAAAGGGGTGCGGAATATTTTCAGGAGCCAAAATTTACAAAGTACACAAGTGATAAATAATTTAAATGGTATTATTTATTTTTCATTTTAATAATTTTGATTGCGTAACAAAACAATTTCTGTTTTTNAAACAAACAAAACAAATTGCAATTTATCTTAATTAAATAAAAACTTAGATGTGTTCAACATAGTTTCTTGGAAAATTATTGTCTGCTGTATCTAAGAAAACATATATATATATATAGTGTTGTATAGAACTGCTAAACTTTTTTAGAAAATGAATTGCTTGTAATTTGATTTTATAGAATGTATTACAATTGTTTTAACATCTTACTTTTGGTACTTGTAATCATATTGTGCTCAGTTATTGTTATTTAATCTGCTATTGATTATTATAAATTTCATTAATAACTAATATTTTGATTGGTTTGATATTGTATTGATATTTGATGCATATCAGTATTTTTTAAATAAGTTAAACACAATTTTGTATCATTCTCTTGTGTATCTATAAAGCAACATATTGTAAATATTTACATTTTAAAAAACTTTGCATTAACATTGGTATGTTTTAAGTGTTTTAAACATAAACTATAATGCAGTAATACTACAGAGAACATCTTTTAGAATCATCACAAAACATTTAGAAGCTAAGATTTAATGTTGTACATTAAATTAAAGTATGAGCATTGTATAGCTGCAACATAAATTTCATACACATTTTCAGTAATAGCATTGAAATTTGTTCTGTTTCTGAAGCTAAAGATATGCATTTAACAGTTCTAAATCATACAAATGTATCCAAATTATGTTAAGGTCATGCTCTTTTAAGTGAATTTTTTGTTACAAGAATTTTTTTGTAAGATGTCTATCTCTAAGAAATGTATCAATAAATCATTGTTAAACATTTATGAGTTTTTATTGCAAGTTTAATTAAAACACTAGAGTTTTGAATATGTTGGAGAATTTGCATCAAACAAACTGCAAAGTAATACTTTATATAGTTATAAATAAAATGAACTGTGTCACAGACAAAACTCATTTTGTAAGGAGATTCATAGAATCTATCTGTGATAAATCTTTTATACTTACTCCCATTTTCAAGTAAAATAATAAAAGTGTATCATATATTTTAAATTAAATGAATTATAGGATAGCTACTACAGAGTTCTAAATTAAATTTCAATTTTTGTCATTGTACAAGCTAATACCATTGAATTCTAGTAAATACTTAAGAAAACAGAAACATGAGATTATTTCATACTTTATACACAAAATTTGATCTTTTTATTTATTTAATGATGGTAATAATAGCAACTTATGAATATAATTTCTTACATTTTCCATAAAATTACCAGATAATTTGTAAATATGGTAAATGGAAAAGAGATTTTGGGTGTTAAAAAAAATCTATATTTTGGTTTTGAACTGGATAAATTTATCTGTCATCTCATAAACAGGGAAGTATTAATATTCTATTCCATTATGGTGTATACTTAAATTATTATTATTGTTTATATTTAATTTTTATTCTTTTATGCTTCAAAATGACAACATAAAATAATCCGAAATGAATTTGTTTTATATTATTTTATTTTATTATATTCTGAATGTTGTGTATTATTACAGTTTATAACATTTTTTGCAGTTTATTCCTCATAATGCATATCTTGAACCTAATATACCATTATGGGTTATATTTTAAAATTGAATTTATAGTTTCACTCCACAGTGCATATTTTGAATGTTATATATGTTTATGGTACATAATTCATTTTTCTACACTTTGTTAATAATTTGTTCAATTGTATTATAACGTAGTTTGAGCATTCTGTAACATTACAGTATATAATGTAAATATTTTATATTTTGATTCTATACTATTTTAATTTCACTTGAGTGTTCTACTTGACTATGGCATATAAAATGTTTTTGCACTATGATGCATGCTAATATAAACTGATACTTTTACTGGAAAGTAGGAAGACATAATTGAAGTGAAATTTCCCCCAATTTTTCATAGTTATACCATATAAACTGTATTTCATGAAACATAAATGTTAATAACCACAACAAGCATCAATATTGTTACCAATCATTATATTAGTAATTGATAGATTTAGAAATGCACATTTTCTATTTCAGATATTTTCTATTATAAAAGATTTTTGAAAATTTTTTCAAAGAACTAAGACATGTTTTAAGACATTACAAACAAAAGTAATGTTAATTTTTATGGAGCAATTTTTGGTTTTTTAATGTACATAAGGTAATTATCATACTGGCCATAATTTTCTTATGTTTAATAACAATTTTATCATTTTACTGACAGAATATTTAAATACTCAAGCCTAATTATTAAAATATAGAGTATTTTCATTTCATTTATATAAATGCTATAAAAATGATATTGATTAATCATCTACATTTATCTTATTTTGCATCAATATACAGATCATAGCAAACTTATTATATGCAATTATTTAATCCGTCGTCTTTCAAATTTTACGCTTCCCAATTTACGATATCGACCGAACAAAAAAGTTCAGATCGTCATCGGTACCAAAAGTTTACCTTTGTTCATAGATAATTCAAAGGTGAATGGTGAATAATGTAAACGATAGTGATTTTTATTTAATTAATAACAATAAACATACAGTAAGTAATATTCCTAGATGGTAACCTAAAATATTTCATATAATGTATAAAATGTAATTTTAGCAAATAAACTTTTAACTAATTTTATAAATCTGTAGATAGAAATACATATTTATAAATGTCATATCTCAATGCAATAATGTTAAGTAACTTCAACACAAAGATATTTTCTAAATTGTTTAATATCTAAAAGCATTTATTAGAAGTAGTAAATTAAGTGAGAAAGGTTTTGTGCTGCTATTCTTAGAAATAGTTCTAGCTACATATTCATAGTAGAGTAAATTAACTGAAATAAAGAAAACATTTTCTTGGTGAATGGCAGTCTGATATATAAATTAATTCAAATAGTTTTTCACATTTATTTCTTGTCTAGACAGCAACTTGATGTGGAAAATTTTTTTATATTTTTATAAATTTAATATCTAAATTTCTTCTGTATTTTGCTTTTACTCCCTTATTTAACTTAAGATATATTTATAAGCATTAAAAGCAAATTACAGAAGAAATTATGTTATTTAATTAATGATTAACGATGGTTGTTAAGTGCTTAAAAATAACGAATGGCTTATTTAATGCCATTCTTTTATTATAACTATTCCTTTGAGGATCTAATAAAACTCCCTAAACATCAATTTTTATACATTGTAAATTTCAAAACTATATTTGTTATTATTTTGATAAAGATTACATATTTTAAAAAGTTTTTCGTATATAAAATAGGATTATGTTTTCGAAATTTAATAAAAGAATCGAATATCGTTAATTAGAAATGTAAATTATTTTAAAAAACAAAATGGCGCCAGTTTGTTTATTGTTTTTTGTAATCATCGATCGCAGCTCGGGTCAAGAGTTTGTCGATGAACTATTTAAATCAGGTGTTTGCTCCGCTTCATTGATAGTGTGACGTTAGCAATTAGTGGAATGATAGCGATTATGACGTAATTTTATGCTTATTATTTTGATTATGACGCAATCGCATCGATTAGTTTCGGTTCTAGGCTATTTAAAATGGCGGACGGTTTGTTTGTAAACTGTTTTATCTGATTAGTTTATGTTGTTGTTATTTTATATTTACGATACAATCGGAATATTGGCAAAATTCATTAATTTCAAAATTGACTGCTACGTATTAATTTTTTTGCCAATTTTCTTTATTTTTATTTCAAAATGACGGCTGTGAACCAGATAAGTGCCTGCTAACTTTTTCTCAGTCTGTTTCGCTTTTTTACAGCCACAAGCTTGATAAAATGTATACAGATCGGCCTAATTTACCTAGTTTTAACTCTTAACTAAGATTAGCGACCGAAAGAGTAATTTACAAGTTTCTGTTAGTAGTTTTGGCCTATTCGGCTTGTTTGTAAGGTGTTTCTGGCCGTCTAGCGTGGAGAATTCTAATGAGTTTTGACGATTTGCATTACATTTTAACTGGGATCTCCACCATGGGTAAGTCGTTCTCCTCTCTTAAATTGGCACAAAATATTACCTATAAATTGAACTTTTTATCTGAATCGCACCTAAATTACTTTTTGTAAACTTTATCAACAAACTACAAAGTATCCAGTGTTTTTCAGTGTCCAAAGATTCTCTTTGCGTGTTTCCTTTTACAAGTTTTCTGTATGTTTCATTCACTCTGAACAAATTCTACATTTTTCAATTTTGTTTTTTACTAGTAACATTTTTTCCATCTACAACTTCGATATATTCGTCGATCTGTGTTTGTTAGTCGTTTCGGTTAAGTAAAAGCTTACCTACGAACTTCTGTCTCGTTGAACCGATGGTAAACTTTAATGTTAGTAAATGTAATTATGGTAGAAAACTTTGTTTTTGAGATGATGTAATTGACGATAAGCCCGTGTTTTGTGGAAGTAATTAGGGTTCCAGTTCAATATAAAGTGGATTGTTCGTAAATTGAAGCAAAATTGTAATACCTTTTTAAATGAAATTAGTTCCTTCAATATGAAAATTGACTATTAAAACTTAATCATTCTTGCGAAGATCTGTGGTTATTTTATAATTATTTTACGTAAATA